GCCCCAAATACATGTTGCCAGTTTATGGTTGGTTTGTTTTTTTAAGACATCTCAGTAGTTAGCCATTGTGCTTGGGCAGAATGAAATGAAAACAAAAAGCATTGTCTTAGAGACCATGTCTATGGAGTAGAAGTCTACTAACTAACATCCCGTCATATGTCAAAGACCGTTTTACTTACATGACTGCGGTAGAGATAAGATGATAATGTGTGTCCAGCACTTAGCATAGTAGAGGGCACATAAACATGTCTTACTTTGCTTCTCATTTTCTTGCATGTGAACTTGAGAGGGGGGAAATAAGAGGCATCGCAGAAGTTTAGGACAAACCTAGCACTTCCTTTCCAGCTCTGAATCTGTTGTTACCACCAGCCAGCCAGCCCCCTCATATCTTCATCTGCAAACCAGACTGCATTGAGACACTGCAACAGCCATTTACTGGTGTGTGTTCTCAACTGGGCCATATAGCCATGAAAAAAGACATTGCATCATCCAACGTGAGAGTGTGCCTTCGTTTCTATCTCAGTTGATAGTTCAGGGTACATTCTGAGTTTTGAATGCTTTCTTCTGATCAAAAATAGAAGTTTCTTTGCAAGTTGTGTTGTCTGTTGGTGCCTGACATAAGAGGCTCTCCTAAGTAGATGTCATCATCTGTTGTGAGTATTTCTCCCACTTTGTGCTTTTGCTTTTATATTAGTTTGTGGGGTTTGATCAAAAAAATAGTAAGTGTGCATTTTCCCTATAGTTATTTCTCATTTTGTTAATAGAAGGTTCTTTCCCATCCACAGATGAGTTAGTCACTTACATATTTTTAAATCTTTTATTGATTTCATTATTTACATCTGACAGTCTAATCCACTTACAGTTTTTGGTGTGGAATGAGGCGAGGCTGTAAACTGACTTTTGATTTTAAATAAGCACAGCACTATTTATTAACCCATCCCTTCCTTCCCCTGTGCCCTTCGTGATGTTTCCTTTATTTGCAGTGGTTCTCCCTGAGGGAGGAAAGTGTATCACAGTCACTCAGGAAGCTTTTCAGAAATCCTCTTAACCCCACTTTGGACGATTCTAGCGCATCTTGAATACCAGAATCTTTGGCCGCCCTCTGATTATCCCTGCCCCTTCTCTTGTGAGAGCCATTAATTATGTCATATAATCTACTCCTGTATCATCAAGGGTCTGCTTAGAGATGTGGATTCTGTTCCACTGATAAGCGTACCCTTGGACCTGCTGCACAGTGCTCTTCTTATTGAACGACATGAATGCATTTTAATATCTTGCCAAATAAGTTTCCATTCATATTTCAAAAACCTAAAAAATAGCCTGTTAACATGTTTCTGCAAAATCCAGGTTGCCTTTGGAGAGAACTCTATTTCATGTTGTTTTGCTCTTGCGGGTAACTTTCAGTAAGGCTTTGCTTCACAGAGTTGTAATTATCTTAGTTCTACTTTTATATCAGCAGGACTGAAGAATCCATTTTAAAAGAAGTTGAAAATAAAGCCTTCTGTACTTGAACAAAATTTCCTTTTTCTGTTGACCTGATCTTAGAAATTCAACCATCATCAAACCCAGCTCTGCACGGAATACTTTTCCAAAATGAATAGCAACACTCAGCATTTAGGCCTCAGTGTGGCAGCCAGGCAGTTAAGTTTGCCCTTGTTTAGTTTTGCATATGTGAGATGCTATTTAGAAACTTGTTCTGAATATCTTTTGCAAGGTGAGGATATGTATATACCTCAGAATTTCCTTTTTCTGTATGCTTCTAGAGCTAAACCTTGGGTTGGGGGAGGTAGGGACAAGTGCTTCCTGCTTGCAAACACTAATGCTCAGTAAGAAATAAAAGATTATATATAATAAATAGCCTTAAATTTGGTAAGCCAGTAGCATGTTTTTCTAAAAATTTACAAACATTCTCAGGATTCAGTTTACTATAAGGCATATTATTAGTGAAACTTCTATCAATAAACAAAATCTGTTATAAGCTTATGCACAGATTGACTTTTATCAAAATTTATTTTACTGAAAATATTATACCACAAATTAATTCAGTGTTGTAATTTTCCATTTTTTTTTAAGAATGCCATTGTACAGGACTTTGTATAGGGATCATCTCATTTAATATAAATAATGAGACAGCTTCTAGAACTATGAGTGTATTTATATTTCTTTTAATGTTCATAAAACTAATAGTAATGTGATTTAAGCATCCAAACTGTATGTTTACAATAGAGGCATGAAGGGGTATAAAATGCTTACTAGTAATGTAAAAGAAAATTTTTTTAACTTTGAGAACATGAGGGGAAATTCATACTGTCATATTTTAAAACCATACAAACAGAAATGCTGAATTTCAGTTTGGTGGTATTTGCTAATAATGTCAGAGCCAAGTAATACAAGTTTTTTCTGAGCTAATTTTTCTGCAAATTTCAATTTTCTCAAATGTTTCTTGTTTCTTAAATATAATTCCACTTTGACCTGTTCTTTATTCAATCAGTTGTGTGTACTTATCGAAATATGGCTGTGCACTAATTGTATACAAGGCAAATCCCATTAAAACTTATTCAACCCATGAGGTGGGCACCTGGGTGGCTCAGTAAGTTAAGCATCCAGCTTCAGCTCAGGTCATGATCTCATGGTTTGTGAGTTCAAGCCCCGCGT